GGGGGGATTTCCAGACAGGATTACCATGTTTTAATTTCTTATAGACAGCACTATTGGAGCTTCTGCTTGTTTTGGATAGAGCGCTGAATGCTGTCTTTCTTTCTTTTTATTTTGTCTCTCCCCCCTGGAGATTTCCTTTGTTTTGTAGACTGGATTCCCGTGTTTTGTTTTGTAGACAGGATTCGCAGACAGGATTCCCATGTTTTCTTTGGCAGACAGGATTCCCATGTTTTGTTTTGTAGACAGGATTCCCATGTTTTGTTTTGTAGACAGTATTCCCATGTTTTGTTTTGTAGACAGTATTCCCATGTTTTGTTTTGTAAACAGTATTCCCATGTTTTGTTTTGTAGACAGTATTCCCATGTTTTGGTTTGCAAATTCCCGTGTTTCTTTTAGCAGACAGGATTCCCATGTTTTGTTTTTGTAGACAGGGTTCCCATGTTTGTCTTGTTTTGTGCAGGCGAGCGTTTCCCGCGTCAGAAGATCTGCACGGTGAAGGAGAACACGTGGAGCCAGCAGTGCACGGTGAAGAACCTGCGGCCGGCCACCAACTACTCGCTGACCGTCCAGGCCTACAACAAGTACGGCGCCAGCGACCTCTCCGACATCATCTACGTGCAGACGCTGCCCGATGGTCAGTCCAGCTTTTTGTAATTAAAAAAAATATTAAAAAAAAAAAAAGTGTGGGTGGTTGACGGGTGCCCCTGGTGTGATTTGTTTCTTCTTTCCTGTTAAATGTCTATCGTCCTTTATCATCTCCCCTCCTTCTTTTTTGTGTTTGTTACTCTACTGTCTTGTAACACCTCTAATCTCCGGCACTTGTGTGACCTTATTGTGTTGCAAGTGCCGTAAAACATTTACTTTAAAAAAAAGTGTAATAGATTATAGTAGTAAAAAGGCATTGGTTAAGAAAATTAATAAATGTCAAGAATTTTAGACATGATATGGTCGCTTTTTAGGACAAGCAGGCTAACCCAGATTTGGGGGGTTTCCAGAAATCTTGACCTCCACCAAAAGTGGTCATTGCCCTACCTATAGGAGAAGTTTGGTTTCATTAGTGTGTATATTTGTTTGGTTATAGAGAAAACTCTCCTTGTCTTTTAAAGAAACTGAACAAGGGGCAAAAACTTTAACTTCGATTTTCTCAAAACAGCATTTTTCGGGATAGCCCCCGTTGGGCTTAAAAGTGACCGTATGAGAGTACAAAATCCCCCATTGATTTAAATTTTTAAAAATGATGTTAAATGGAATTGTTCCTACGTCCCCATGGACACTATTATGCATCATTTAGGAGGCAGGTTTCTGACTCTGCCAGTCGGGGCCGACCAGTGCTGAGAGAGATACAAACAACATCCCAGCAAAATGGTCGAGATGCGCCGTAAAAATTTTCTCCCCACTAAGACATCGAACTGGGTGGTTGGCGGGTGCTCTGGTGTGGTTTGTTCCTTCTTTCCTATCAAACATCTATCGTTTTTATCTCCCCTCCTACTTTTTTGTGTTTGTTACTCCATTGTAACCCATGCACACACATTCACAACACACACACACACCCACACACGCACACACACACACACACACACA